TTGTTTTTGAGCCTGACAAAGCTGTTGGTTGATATCACTTCAGGGATGAAGAGGAGATATTATACCCTGGGACATGTGTTGTTTTTCTAAAGTCATTTTGGTTGTTTTGCGGTTCTTTGTTGTCGAGGTCGGGCATGCAAGGGAGGACTTTTGTTTTAGCCTGACAAAGCTGTTGGTTGATATCACTTCAGGAATGAAGAGGAGATATTGTACCCTGGGACATGTGTTGTTTTTCTAAAGTCATTTTGGTTGTTTTGCGGTTTTTTGCTGTCGAGGTCAGGCATGCAAGGGAGGACTTTAGGTTTTGAGCCTGACAAAGCTGTTGGTTGATATCACTTCAGGGATGAAGAGGAGATATTGTACTCTGGGACATGTGTTGTTTTTCTAAAGTCATTTTGGTTGTTTTGCGGTTCTTTGTTGTCGAGGTCGGGCATATAAGGAAGGACTTTTGTTTTAGCCTGACAAAGCTGTTGGTTGATATTACTTCAGGAATGAAGAGGAGATATTGTACCCTGGGACATGTGTTGTCTTTCTAAAGTCATTTTGGTTGCTTTGCGGTTCTTTGCTGTCGAGGTCAGGCATACAAGGGAGGACTTTTGTTTTTGAGCCTGACAAAGCTGTTGGTTGATATCACTTCAGGGATGAAGAGGAGATATTGTACCCTGGGACATGTGTTGTTTTTCTAAAGTCATTTTGGTTGTTTTATGTTCTTTGCTGTTGAGGTTGTTACAAGATGAGATCTTGCTCTGCTTCGATAAACAGAAGTTACTATCACGAGTCCCCGACTCGAAATGAAAACTATACGCTCACGCATAGGCTCGACGCAGAATACTTCCGTTTGGGATAAACTCCGAAAAAAAAATGAAAAGAATGAAATCAACCAATCGGACCGTCTCCCGCATATTCAAAAATTGCCATTTGGAGCCGATAGGCGTGTATAAGTTCAACACGGTAAAGTTAAAAGGGTGCCATTCAATGGCGGAGGCAGAAGGGTCACGTCGCTCACTCCCTGACACACTGGCCCGGCGATGAAACGAAGCATGTGACCGCTGCTGCTAATGAACTCTCGTCCGACGCCTTGTCAAAGGGTACCTTTCCCTCAACTTCTTAAATACAAACTTTTTACTTGTTCTTATTTTCCTCACTAAAAGAGACTATAAAATATATCTACAGTCTTTCTTGTTCTTTCGATTCTGAATTTCATTGTTTGCAACCAAACGCAGTATTTCGCCCACATTGTTTTCACATCGCCCACGTAACTAAATACGGAATATAACAAGGTCAGGCATGCAAGGGAGGACTTTAGGTTTTGAGCCTGGCAAAGTTGTTGGCGGATATCACTTTAGGGATGAAGAGGAGATATTGTACCCTGGGATGTGTTGTTTTTCTAAAGTCATTTTGGTAGTTTTGCGGTTCTTTGCTGTCGAGGTCAGGCATGCAAGGGAGGACTTTAGGTTTTGAGCCTGACAAAGCTGTTGGTTGATATCTCTTCAGGGATGAAGAGGAGATATTGTACCCTGGGACATGTGTTGTCTTTCTAAAGTCATTTTGGTTGCTTTGCGGTTCTTTGCTCTCGAGGTCAGAGATGGAAGGGAGGACTTTTGTTTTTGAGCCTGACAAAGCTGTTGGTTGATATCACTTCAGGGATGAAGAGGAGATATTGTACCCTGGGACATGTGTTGTTTTTCTAAAGTCATTTTGGTTGTTTTGCGGTTCTTTGCTGTCGAGGTCAGGCATGCAAAGGAGGACTTTTGTTTTTGCGCCTGACAAAGCTGTTGGTTGATATAAACTTCAGGGATGAAGAGGAGATATTGTACCCTGGGACATGTGTTGTCTTTCTAAAGTCATTTTGGTTGCTTTGCGGTTCTTTGCTGTTGATATGAAGGTTAAGAGGCTGGAGTCTTCTTTTTGAGTCTAGGAAAGTTTTTGTGTGATATAATTCAGGGATGGAGAAAAGATATTGTGCTCTAGGAAATGTGTCACCTTTCAAAAGACATTTTGGTTGTTTTGCAGTTGCCTCTTGTTGAGGTCAGAAATGGAAGGGAGGACTTTTGTTTTTCAGTCTGGCAAAGTGGTTGGCTGACATCACTACAGGTATGGAGAGAAGATATTGTACCCTGAGAAATGTGTTGCTTTTCAAAAGACATTTTGGTTGTTTTGCGGTTCCTTGTTGTTGAATTCAGAGATGGAATGGAGGACTTTTGTTTTTGAGTCTGGCAAAGTTGTTGGCTATCATAGACATTTTGGTTGTCTTGCAGTTCTTTGTTGCCAAGGTTAGGAATGGGTTGGGGATTTTGTTTTTGGCTGTCTCTGGGTACATAAAAAAGAGCATGACGAGTCAACAGGGAGAGCTGTGACTGCTGTATCGAATAGGAGACACAAGTTGCAGTTAGTGGTGTGTTTGACTAAAAGGAATTGGATTGGAGGATTTGATTACAAACCTGAAGAAACTACAATCTTTCAAATTTTTCACTTCAGATTTGAGGGAACAAAATGGCAGGTGTGGGGTATAAGTAAACCAGTATAAAGAGGGACCTCCACTGATCCTACAAATGACTGAAGGAGCAGCAGGGAAAAGTTAGAAAACAGAGAGAGAGCCTTAGATTGGTAAATTTCAGTAAAAGTTTACAAGAAGCAGTATGATGAGATTGTTATGATTTCATCATTCTAGAAATAAAGTTCTGAAATTTCATCATCATTCTAAAAATAACCTTTCCACCACAAGGAAAAGTAGCTGCAGTAGAAAGAACAGCACAGACTGGACAAGATTGTATCTTCTTCACTCAGTAAAAATTCTGATAGTTTCAAAAACTTTCCTTAACCTCAAATCTTTCAAAACAATTATAAACAAGTCCAATTTTTAAAGAACCAAAAAGAGACAATAATCGTGAGAACATTTAACACACACAAAATCAATATTGTAAATAACATCATGATAAAGAAAAATACAGGTTCTTATCATTAATTTCAACACGTGTCTCAAAATCTTATTGTTGTATGTTATTATTGTACGTTTTATTCATTTCATTTTCAGTATTAAAAAAAAGAAAAGGAATCCTCTAACTACTAAGGGTGTTCCAATAACTTGGATCGATCTTAAATGTGAATTAAGTTTAAATGTCTAATAATTTTTTCCTTTTTCTCTCAGATATGGCTGACATTTTGGCGATATTATTTTTCACACATAATTGCCATGATTTAAATAACATGATTCAATAGAGAAATAAATAAATTTTCAATAATAACACTGATTTACTTACTGCTGACTTTGATCCGTCTTAATGAAACACCCTAATATATAATCCGTCTTATCTGAAATATCTAGATGAAAGAAAGATCTGAAATTTCATTATTATAAAGACAGCCTTTCCACCACAAAAAAAAGGAGCAGTAGTAAAAAGAACAACACAGACGTATCTTCTTTGCTCCATGAAAATCCAGAGCTGACGCTTTCAAAAGCTTCCCATAACAACAAAACTTTCAAAACAATTATAAACAAGTCCAAATTTTAAAGAAACTAAGAAACAATAATCATGAGAACATTTAACACACACAAAACCAATATTGTAAATAACATCATGATAAAGAAAAATAGACATTCTTATTAATTTCAACATGTGTCTTAAAGTCTTATTGTTGTATGTTATTTTATGTTTTATTTTCAGTATAAAAAAGAAAAAAAAACGAATCTTCTATCACCTACTAATACATGTAACACAGAAGTAACTTACATTAACAACTCATCCAACCCCTATTACAATAGTGATCCAACTAAATGTGATTTAAAAGAAAAATAGAGTAGGAACCTTTCATACAACAGGTGAATCTCAAAGTATCAGAATTAATAGAAATGGCAGAAAATGGCTGGTTTTCCATAATAGAAGCACAATTTCATCTATGCCATACAACAGCATCAAACACAAAATTCTTTGCAGTGCTACCTTCTCTACCTGCCAAGACATTGGCAAAAATATCCATATCAGTATTAGAGTTACAAAACTATGAAGACATAAAATTCTTGCATCCGGCTGGAAGTTACTGCCGGCTACTCAAACGTCTAAATGCGTCACCGCAGAAAACAGAACGAATGCCGTTAACTTCTGGTGACTCAGCGTTTTTCAGAGAACGATACACAAAAACTCAAAACAAATGAAATATTAACATACATGAGCCTTCCTAACTAAAAATAATTACCAGAACATGGTGTCCGAATGAAACCCATGTGTACAGTCAAAATGCAGAAGGTAATTTTCAGTCATCACCCCAAAGATATTGCCAACCGGCTACGATGCTGATCTCAGCCTACATAAAAACAGCCAATTTCTTCCACCAGATATCTTGGCGGATTTGGCCTCGGGGTAGAGCGACAAGCTCCCCCTCTCACATTTGCTGACCACACAAAGCAGCCAAACCTAGCAGCAGCAGCAGCCACCAGTAAAGCCATCAGCTCCCAGTCTTGTTGCCGACTTCAGCAGCAGGCTGACCCAACTTCAGTAGCAGCAGCAGCGGGCTACATGATATGTGATAGTCCTTTTCAGGACTATACCTGGCTACATGATTTGCGATAGTCCTTTTTTATTAGAACTACCAAGCTGCATTCGTACATGACTGTCATACCTAGGACGAACAGACTACACCAGCGTCGTCTGTGTCAATCCTCTCTCTTCTTAAGTGCTGACGTGCTCTTTTACAAAAGGGCAAACATCCGGGGATCGACTGGACCTTGAACACCGCTGTTCCATCTGCCAACCTCCGAGTTGTCGCCTTGAAACCTGACAATGCTCCTTCAACTGACACTTCACGACCGAACTCCAGCAAACAATTTCCTGTACATACTTTTGCCAGATTATTAAATAAAATTTGGCTTAAACTTTTACATCCTTGCCTTTGTTGTCCTTGCTTCGATCGTATTACTCTACATTATTTTTCTGCTTGTGGGGTTAACAGCAGCTGCTTAACGCCGCAACAAGTGGTGACCCCGATATTTACGATCGATCAAGATGGCAACAGACGAGTGCGAACAGAACACTCCCATAAATGTAGCAATGCAACTCACGAACATCCCTACGTATAATGAACAAAACACCAAAAACTGGTTACTGCAGTTGGAAGCCATTTTCTAAGTACAGAGAATAACGTCACAACAATCAAAATTTGCTAACGTGGTACAAGTTTTGCTACCTTCAGTGGTTGACGAAGTAGCCGACATTCTAGAACATGTACCCGAGCAGGAGCCATATACTCGGCTTAAGGATGTGATATTAAAACAAACTGGCCGTTCGGATGAGGATCTGCTCCGGGAACTTTTCACCCATGTCACCAGGGGTGACAGAACACCCTCACAGCTCCTACGCTTCATGAGGAGCTGACTAGGAAAACATTCGATGGCTGAATCGATCAAGCTACCCACCACAATAACGCAGATATTGGCGCCAATTGCTGACAATACACCACTACACCAGTTAGCAGACTCCGCCGGAATTATGCTGGTACCCCCACAGATTCGGCACCAGGGCAAGACATTGCTCAGCACCCTGCAAATACAGCTCCAAAACTAAATCGGAAAACTAAACTGCCGGCGGGTATGAGCGGCAGAACCCCCTGGCAAAAACATACGAAGCCGCCTTTTCTAATGCCCTGTTGGTGGGGCTTTAGAATACATCAACTGCACCTCTGCAGAGGGTAAAAGTCCCTATTTGGGGCCACCTGTTGGCCGTGGGTGGCGACCAGTGTCATCTGGGGACGGGATCCTGGTGATTGAGCAAGCCATGGCCCAGATGCAAAAAGGACATGGTAATGGAACACATGACCTTGGCCCTTACCTGGGCTAGACGGGTGGTCAGAGAGGCCCGATCCGATCAATCGGCTAGTCACATCAAGCACTAATACTTACTCGCATTAAAACCCATCTATCTAAAACACTTATGTTATACAAAACTGGTCTGGTCTTTTACCACAAACAAGAGATAGATTATAAGTAAGTATTAGAAGGCGGCGGCAAGGGTCAATCTACTAGTAAGGAAAAGCCGTTACAGATAGGGTTTTTAACTGGCATTTTTATCAAAAACGGGTTGTGAAAACAAAGTGAAACTCGAAATGCTAGCAGCCACTTACTAGTGTGAGGATACCTTAGATGCCACAACTGCCAAAAGTTTGGGCACCATAAGGACAGATGCACCAGTCTATCAATATGTAAAGTTTGTGGAGAAATTGGGGATCACATTGACTGTAAACTCCCAGTTAAATGTGCCAACTGCAAACAAAATCATGCAGCAGACACAAAAGAATGTGAAGTCTGGAATAAAGAAAAAAAATCCTCGATTAAACACAAAAAATATATCATACCCGGAGGCAAGAAGAATAGTTGAGAGTTCTCTGAACGTATCAACATATGCAAATATAGTCAGAAGATCTGACAATTCAATTAAAAAACAAGAAACATCACAAAATAATCTGTCCGATTTGGTAGAAGAATTAAGATCACTTCTGGAGATATTAAAGAAAAATTTAAACTGTTTAACAACTTGAACCGATACCGAATCAGATCTAAAGGAAAATCCCCAATACCAGATCATCAAAACCAAAGAGGTTACAAGAAAATTACAATACAAGCAACAGCAAATGCCGAATCTCCCAAACACCTCAAACAAATTTAATAACTCCTCACCTCCAAAAATGAAATCTCCGTTAAAAAAATCAACACAGCAAAAAGAAAACAGAAATTGTTTTAATTGAAAATGAAAATAATTTCGAACTGATGGAAACTGATAGCCAAAAAAGACATTCAAGACAGAGAAGCTTAAAAAGTTCCGACAAAAACAAGCAAAAAACAATCCATCCCATCTCAAACAAGGGAACGGCCTTCATCTAAACAAAGAGCAAATGAATCAAAGGAAAAAACAAAAGGAATATCTCTAACTAAACAAACAGAACCGAAAGAAAGCCAAGGGTTAAAAACACAACAAAAAACAAAATGCAAATAAGAAAGAATGGCTCAAAAAATTATACAATGGAACTGTCGGGGCTTAAAGCCAAATACAAATGAGTTACTTCTGCTTATAATGAATCATCTCCCCAACATCATCTACTTATAGGAAACCTCCCTAAAAACTGATGATAAAATTAAAATAAAAAACTATACACAATATAATTACATTCATGACCCGAATCAAAGGGCATCCTTCTTTTACGAAGGACGAACTTATAAATGCCATAAGTGAATCACATAATACAGCTACTGGTCCTGATGAAATTCATTATGAATTTTTAAAACAACTTCCCCCCCAAATCCATTAAATTTTTGTTAAACATCTTTAACGAAATATGGTTCAAGGGAAAACTACCTAATAGTTGGAAACAGGCTATTGTGATTCCCATACCAACACCAGAAAAAGATAAATCAGATCCCAAAAACTTTAGACCCATAACATTAACAAGCTGCTTATGCAAAACATTTGAAAGAATAACAAATAGAAGACTAAATTGGTACCTGGAAACCAATAATTTAATTACCAACTTACAGAGTGGCTTTCGAAATAAAAGAGGAACAATAGATAACATAGTCTGCTTAGAAAGCTTTATCAGAGAGGCTTTCATCAATAAAGAACATGTAATAGCCATTTTCTTTGACTTAGAAAAGACCTACGAAATTACATGGAAACAAGGAATAATGAAAGACTTATACAACCTTGGCCTAAAAGGCAGATTACCCTTGTTGATAAAAGACTTTTTATCTGATAGAAGCTTCAAAGTAAGAATAGGATCAACTCTCTCAGACTCAAAAATTCAAGAAGAAGGAGTCCCACAAGGATGCATCTTGTCCGTCACTCTCTTTAACATAAAAATTAACAACATTGTAACCTGTTTGAACAACGAAGTTAATGGTTCCTTATATGTAGATGATCTTTTAATTTGCCATAGATCAAAACATATGCATACCTCAAAAGTCAACTGCAGATATGCATAAATAAAATAAATCAATGGACCATTGAAAATGGTTTGAAACTCTCACAAACCAAAACAAAGTGTATGCATTTTTGTAATCAAAGAAAAATGCACAACGACCCAACACTTAAATTAGAAGAAACTGAAATAGAAATGACCAAACAATAAATTTCTGGCAATAATATTTGATAAAAAAAAACTCACATTCATTCCCCATCTGAAATACTTAAAACAAAAATATTTCAAAACACTACAACATTTGCGGGTTATAGCTAACACAGAATGGGGAGCAGATCGGATATCACTCCTAAAAATATACAGAACACTAATAAGATCCAAATTGGATTATGGAAGTTTCATATATGGTATGGCCAGGAAATCCTACCTAAAAATTCTTGACCCCATCCACCACACAGGTCTAAGACTTGCTCTTGGTGCCTTTAAAACATCTCCCATAGAAAGCCTATATGTTGAAGCTCATGAGGCTCCTCTAAAACTGAGATGAGAGAAATTAGCTATACAATATTACCTAAAACTCAAATCCAATCCATCAAATTCAGCCTATCAATGCACATTCAACCCAAACTATAAACATCTGTTTGACAAAAAAGAAAATGTTATCAAACCTTTTGGTCTTTACATGGAAAAAATGATAAAACCACTTACAGACAGTTTGATAGACAAAAATAGTATACATGAATTCAAGCTACCCAAACATCCACCTTGGCTATTGGAATGACCAAAAGTCATTTTAAGACTGGCTCCCCGCACTAAATCTGACATACACCCCTTATACTATATAGAAAAACTAAATGATATTCTGGAACAATACCCAAATTGGGCCCACATATATACCAATGGCTCCAAAGTCAAAAACAAAGTAGGATGTGCGGCCATCTTTAAAAGTACTGTTCTACAGAAAAGATTACCTAACAACTCAATTTTTAGTGCTGAAATTACAGCCATTGATTTAGCTCTAGACCTCATCACTAAACTTAACTCAAATAAATTCATTATTTTTGCAAACTCATTATCAGTACTTGAATCATTAAAAAACCAAAAATTAAACAATCCTTTGCTCATTAAACTCCTACATAGAATACATGCGATCTCACAAAATAAAACCACCATTTTCTGTTGGATTCCCAGCCACTCTGGTTTTCATGGAAATGAAAAAGCTGATGTTGCTGCAAAAAACTCTCTGAAACTTAACACAAGTAACATAAAGGTTCCATACACTGACTATAAACCCCTAATAAATGACTTTATTTTGAAGAAATGGCAAGACGCTTGGAACAACTGTCAAAACAACAAATTATTTAAAATCAAACCCTCTCTAAAGAAACAACTAACTGAACACAGAAAATCACGCAAAAAGCAAAAAAGAAGTGGTTTTATCCTGTATTCGCATAGGACACACGCACATAAATCATTCCTTCCTCCTAAAAGGACGAAGATCCTCCTGAATGCATAGCATGCCAGGAGGCTTATACTGTGAAGCACTTCCTGCTCGATTGCGGTGACATGGCACATATTTGAAAAATTATTTTAACAACGTGAACAACTTTTAGAAAAATCAAACTTTTGATCTTGAAAAATCAAACCCCAATTTGATCTTGACCTTTCTTGAGAAATTTTCAAAGAACAACGGAATTTTAAAAAAAGTAAAAAAACAAGACAACATAAAAAAAGGAAAGGGATAATTCATTTCAATTTGGTGTTTGATGATGAAAGGGGAAAACTTTTCTACGATACTTGAAACCAGGTGGACACAGAAAATTTTCAAAGAACAACGACCAAAAGGCGCTATAAGAAAAACAGTTTTTTATGGAAAAAAAAACATCGCATGCAACACTTTCACCCAGGCAAAAAAAAACTCGGAAATTTCTGGAAAGGAACACGAGGACTTTTGAAATTTCTGTTAAAGGCATTTCAACCTTATTTAAAAAAAGAAAATCACATCCAGTGGACAAAACAACTGTTTGACCTTAAATGATCTCTTGCTGATCGATGGGTTCATTCAATAGCCCGTTCTCATGCCTAAACCGGGAAGCCACGGACTTTAGAGTATCGTCCAATTACAGAAGATTGAACATACAACCATACCCGATCGCTATCCAGTCCCACATATACACGATTTCGTCTCAGGGTTGCAGAGCACTCACGTCTTTTCAAAAATAGATCTAACTAAGGCTTACCATCAGATCCCCATAGCTCCAGAGGACATCCCAAAGACCGCTGTAACCACTCCCTTTGATCTTTTCGAATACCTCAAGTTGCCCTTTGGCCTGAGGAACAAAGCACAAATTTTTCAGCACTTCATAGATGAGGTACTGCGTGGCCTAACGTATGCATATGCCTACATCGATGACATCTACTAAAAACAGATTTCGCAATAAGGTGTGAAATTTATTTTCTGACTAATGAAAGGCGATTTGCTAAACTAAAAAAAAGATAACGATCCAGTGTGAAAAAATATTTCAGCCTACAAGGGACATTTCAGCATACCTGTCAGGGATCAAGACAAACAATGGGCACTGATTTTCACCAGCCATTTTTGAAAAAGAACTCTAGAAGGTAAAATGCTAAGTTTTGCTTCTTCGGGGAGTGGAATTTTTACATGTAAAAATTTTGGAATAATTTAAATATTTTTACTTTTATATTTTATATTTTAAACCAGTGTTGTATAAAAATATGGTTGGTTGGTTGGGTTTTATGGCATATCAACCACGATAGGTCATTTAATGCCAAATTTGGTTATATATATATATATATATATATATATATATATATATATATATATATATATAGTACTATTAAACATATAGCTGGCAACATTATTTTTTCAAAAACGTATAGCTGGCAACATTACTTTTTCAAAAACATAATATCAGAGGCCTTGCTGTTGGACGTAGTTTATCATCATACCCAGGACGCGGATGTAGGTAGTTTATTGCCATACCCAGGATGTGGGTAAGGTCTGGAAAAAACTGGGAGTTCACTATTTGCCCATAGCTGGGACCCTAACAGGTGCTACCACCCTGGGTCAGTGTGGACCTGGGAACACCAGCAATTAAGAGGTGGTTAGATGAACAAGTGCAAGTCAAAGGTCAGAGAAAGTGTCACCAGTGTTTTTCAAGCTTTTTCCCTTATCAAGATATCTTTCATATTTTCAGATAGGCTTTCATTCTACCTCAATGTGAATTGTCAATTCAAGGCAATTGGAATCACATGTAACGCCCAGCAAGTGGTGCCTCTTCATTAACAGCTCATCCAGGAGCCTCAAAGCTATACTGCTTCCTAATGGGAACATGTATTCATCTCTTACCTAGATCCGTCGGTGCAGTCGAAAGAGGAATACAGAAGTGTCAAGATCTTGCATGATGGCTTGAAATATGAAGAGTATGGTTGGGAAGCTATCGGAAACTTCAAAATGGTAGCCTTTCTGATGGGTCTCCAAGGTGTCTTCATCAACTTTCCATGTTATCTTTGCTTTTGGAATTAGGGACACCACAGTGGACAGAGTTAAGTGTGAGGGAAGAACAATGTCAAATGGGAGCCACTGTTGGACCTCTCCCATGAAAGTATTTTCCTACATTACACTTAAAATTGTGCCTTATGAAAGAATTTGTAACAGCTCTAGATAAGGAGTCTGCAGACTTCAAGATTTCTTCCCTAAACTGTCTGCAGCAAAAGTCAAAGTTGGTCTCTTTATCGGGCCTGGGGAATCACAAGACTGAAAACTGTATGGAGCTTGTTGAGACCCTAGTGAAGAAATACACAGATATACTGATACACATCTTGCATCCTTGATGCATAAAAATATAAAAGGACACAATAAAATCATATCCATGCATTCCAGGGATGCATCTCAACTTTTCCATAATAAAAAAACAATATATGTGGCTTCTCAGAAAGTAGTTTTTTTTTTATTTTGAACCAGAAATTTCTATAGAAAATATCATGAGAGAATTTACCTCCTATTTTTTTTTCTTTCCCACCATTTCACTGCTACTGCTTGCCCTCTGAGACACCAGCTCATTCCTGCAGCTACCAGCAGTCTCCAGCTCACTCCTGCAGCTTCCAGCCGTCCAGCTCACTCCTACAGCCTCCAGCGGCTGCTGGCTCACTCCTGCAGCACTTTACTGACGTCCCGCTACTTATTCCAGCACCCGCTGATGCCTGACGATCTGATCCAGTGCCCACTGACATCCAGCGACCAGTTCCAGCGCCCGTTAATGTCCGGGTACCGTTCCCAAACAAATGACCTCTGTCGCCTTACCATCCACCGTTCGCAAAATAAAGACACAATTTCCATTGTCTACAACTGACCATCTGCGTTTGTCATCCTTCTTTGCTATTACCGTCTCCTTGCCTTTGTGTCCCCTTTTTGTTGTATGGTCGATTAGGCTCACACCTTTCAGCCCACTGCAACAAGTGGTGACCCCAACGTGATCTATGGACACAGGCAAACGGCTAGCAGGGAAGGTGGTGGAAAAGACTGAACCAGAAATCAACACCTTAGCCTCCCCCCCCCCCGATACAACTACCACCATACAACTCGATCAACACCAGGAGTTGGTTTATTCAACTTGAGGCGATATTTTCAGCCCAAAAGGTCACACGACAGGACACGAAATATGCCTCAGTGGTACAAGCCTTACCAGCATCAATCGTCGAAGAAGTGGAAGACATCCTTCTCAACACTCTGGACCAACTCCCATACACCTGCCTCAAAGAAGCCATCCTCAAATGAACGGGACGTTCGGACTAAGACCTTATCAAAGACCTATTTTCTAATGTGTCTCTTGGTGATAGAACCCCATCCTAGCTCCTACGTCTGATGAAGAGACGCCTCGGGAACAACACGATGGCAGAACCCATCCTCCGAGGGCTATGGATGGGTCGGTTACAACTGAACATAACGCAAAGTCCTATCCCTGGTACCGGTAGAAACGCCACTTGACGTTGTGGCCATTTCAGCCAACAAAATATACTCCCAGGCTCACCAAAAAGTCCACCAGGTTGCAAGCTACGGAAACCACACACAACGCCTCGAAGAGGAGATGGCCCAGCTACGTGCAGAGTTGAGAGACCTGAAACTTTCCCTATGCTGGAGGCAGCGATGCCCAGCACCACACGCACGGAATCGAAGCCATACCTGCAGCTCAAGTCCAGGATGGAGAAACAATGCAGACGAATGTTGGTACCACCAAACCTTTGGTGACCAAGATGCAATAAGACCCAGGGAAACGAATAGACCAACAGGCAGCGACGATGATCCCTGTCGGTACTCACTTAAACCGTCGTCTTTTTTACGTGTGACCGTAACAATGGCCTCAAATTCCTAGTTGACACTGGCGCAGCCATCAGTGTGATACCACCCACCAACAGATCCACCTTGAATCCCACCAAATTCCAAGTTCGAGCGGCAAATGGCTCCACCATAGAAACCTATGGGAACGAGGAACTTACCTTGAATATCAACCTCAGGCGTGGCTTCAAGTGGTCATTCACTGTAGCTGACGTTAGGACACCCTTGCTCAGTGCCGACTTCTTGGCACATTACAACCTGGCTGTCCATATGAAGACAAGGACCCTGTCCGACAACACGACATCCATCAAGATCACAGAGATCACTTCGAGCTTCAACACAACTAGGATCAGCGTGGCAACACAGCACGACCCACACTACGTAGAAATCCTGCGCTGGTACAAGGACCTCACACAATCCATTAAACCAACTGATGCAGGCGATCATCATACACAACACCATATAAAGACCACTGGACAACCAGCATATTCACGGCCACGACGACTCCCTCTACACAAATTAGGATATGCCAAGAAAGCGTTTGGGGAGATGCTGGCCGACAATATCATCCGACTCTGAGACAGCCCATATGCTTCACCACTGCATCTGGTATCCAAATCCAATGGAGATTTCAGGATCTGCGTGGATTACCAGAAACTCAATGCATCCACAGTGCCCAACCGGTATCATGTTCCGCACATCCACGACTTTGCCTCAGGTCTACAGGGGGCCCGCATTTTCTCAAAAATCGACCTGACCAAAGCCTACTACCAAGTTCCAGTCACTCCGGAGGACATCCCAAAGACAGCAGTCACAACCCCTTTTGGACAGTTTGAATTCCTAAAAATGCCCTTCGGACTGCGCAAGGCAGCCCAGACATTCCAGAGACTGATGGAAGAAGTTCTGCGTGGCCTACCATACGTCTATGCATACATTGATAACATCCTAGTGGCTAGCAGAGACGCCGATCTCCACAAACAACACCTGGAGGAAGTGTTCCGCCATCTAACACATTACGGCCTCTGAATCAACCCAGACAAGTGCGAATTCAGTGCAAAACACAGACTTCCTCGGACACCACACAGACACCCAGGGAATCACCCCACTCCCCGATAAGATAAAAGCCATACAGGACTTCCCGATGCCTACGTCGATAAAGCAACTGCGGCGTTTCTTGGGAATGGTAAATTTTTATCGCAGGTTTATCCCCGGATGCTCAAAACTCCTCACCCCCCTGACAAATCTCCCCCGGAGAAAAAAAACAAAGCCATCACCCTGGAGGGCGACCAGAAAAAATCATTCCAAGCAGCAAAAAACTTTTTAGCTAACTTTATGAAGTTAGCACATCTCAACGAAGACACTCGGACTCAGATATACCTAACAACAGATGCCTCAGACACTGGAGTTGGAGCGGTGGTAGAACAGGAGTTTTACGACCAAAGCAAACCCATCGCATTCTTCTCGGCAAAATTATCACCAGGTCAGTCCAGATACAGCACCTTCTCGAAAGAACTTTTGGCTATATACCTCGCCATCAATCACTTCCGACATCTACGGGAAGGCTGGAATTTCACTGTTTTGACCAACCACAAACCCATGGCAACTTCCCTGTCGAACAACTCGGACAAATATACAGCTCGCTAGATCAGACATCTAGACTATATCTCACAGTTCACGTCTGATATTTGTTATGTCAAAGGAAAAGACAACTCTGTCGTCGATGCCCTATCCAGATTCGATGTCAACACTGGAAGACAGCCCACTCAGCCAGGAGCTGATAGCAGAGGCCCAGGAATCCAACGCAACCCTCCCTGAAGTCTTAGCCAACACATCCCTGCAACTGAAAGAATTTCTGCCGCCTTTCAGCAACAAAATATTGTACTGCAATACAAAATTGGATCACCCTCAGACCCTACATACCTCCAGCACGCAGAAGGCAAATTTTCAACCACCTACATGGATTGTCACATCCCAGCAAGTGCGCTATGGTCAAACTCATTGTCAATCGTTTTGTGTGGCCCAACATGAATACAGACATCCGTAATTGGGTATCAACGTGCCTTGAGTGCCAGAAATGCAAGGTACACCGGCACACAAAATCCTCGCCTGGCACATTCAGCAACCCTGACGCACATTTCAGCCACATCCACATCGACATAGTGGGACCTCTCCCAATGTGCCAGAATTACCAGTACCTCCTCACAGTGGTTGACCGTTTCTCCAGGTGGCCAGTAGCAGTACCCATCAGAGATACCTCGTCTAACACGGTAGCAAAGACCATCCTTCAGGAGTGGATTGCAATTTTTGGCGTACCCAGCATCATCACCACAGACCGTGGTGCGCAGTTCCAGTCCACACTCTTTCTCGTGGGGGGGGGGACTGAATATCGACAGAAGGGTGCAGAGATCAAAGAGGACAGTGTCTCAATAAATCGCTGTTATTGTTTATAACAAGCTGTTTTCTGCTTCTTTGGTTGCTAAATCCTTTTAGCAACTTTAATTTATAATGTAATACCCCTCCGGCTTAATCATCTCCAGCCCTCTTTTGTGGGACTTTTCACAGCATGGGGCACAAAGAAGTACCATACAACACCATGTCCGAAGTGGTGTTAAAGAAACTGTGGATGGATAAACTACAAACACATACAACACAGATACTCGCATCACTCCCCGATGATTTACAGTTGGAGAAAATAGCAGAAATAGCAGACAAAATACATGACAACAACCAAGACAAAAATGTATATGCCACATCACATGCACCAACAGATACAACAACATTACCAGACAAGTCATCTGAATTCTCACAGCTGTATAAGCAAATGGCGAATCTCAGCTTACAAGTACAGAGTCTGGTACAAGCACAGAAATCTCAGCATTCTCGTCCAACATTCAGAAATAGATCCTACTCACCACAGACGTCGAAGTAGGTCGAACTCTTTCTCCAGAGAGCAAATTACACATGATACGTATTGGTATCATTATAAATTTGGAAGAAATGCAAGGAAGTGCACTGAACCATGCAATTTCAATTCGAAAACTTCTCATATTTCTACACAACACCAGGGAAACGACTGTGCTGGCAACAAGTAAGGACGACATTAGCTGCTGGATTAAAACAAGAGAGTCGTCTATTTTACTGCCAGAACAGAAGTAACGGATATTTATTTTTAGTTGACACTGGCGCTCAGATCAGTGTTATCCTACCAAATACAAAACAAAAACCTACATTCTCCACATACACATTGCAGGCAGCAAATGGATCAATGATGGAAATATACGGTGAGATATCACTAACGCTCGATTTTGGTCTAAGAAGATCTTTTCCATGGATTTTCACACAAGCAAATGTGAAAACACCTATCCTAGGAGTGGATTTCCTATCCCATTTCGATTTATCAGTGAATATGGCTACACACTCTCTCATTGACAGTAACACAAACCTAAGAACAAAGGGAATCACCTCAATCTACAAGTCAACAGGAATTAGTTCAGCAATACCAACGACTAATGGCCTACATGAATTGATAAAAAAATTTCCTGCACTAACTACGCCTTTAACACATACAGATGAAATCCGTCACACTGCTAAACATTATATCACCACAGCTGGACCACCTACACACACATCACCATGCAGATTACATCCGGACAAATATAAAATAGCAAAAGACAAATTTCAACATATGTTGCAGTTAGGCATCATACGTCCTTCAAATAGTCCATACTCCTCTTCGCTACATGTTTCCAAAACCAGAAGCTGGCGCATGGCGACCTTGTGGAGATTTTAGGAATCTCAATGCAAAAACTGTTTCTGACATATCCTATACTGCACTTACATGGTTTTGCCATAGGTTTGCAAGGAACCACAGTTTTTACAAAATTGGATTTGGTTAAGGTGTACTACCAAATTCCAGTAGCAGAAAAAGAAATAAGGAAAACTGCAATTACCACTCCTTTTGGACTCTATGAATTCACCAGGATGCCATTTGGGTTGCGTAATGCCGCCCAAACCTTTCAAAGACTCATTGATGAAGTTTTGAGAGGATTGCCTTTTACCTTTGCATATATCGATGACGTGCTTATCGCCCGTTGTGATAGAAAACGAACACCTATACCACATTCAAAAAGTCTTTGAGAGACTGGCACATTTTGGCTTAAAGATAAATGTCCACAAATGCGATTTTGCTGTTTCAAAGTTAAATTTCTTGGGCCATGTGATTGACAAAAATGGAATCACACCTGTCCCAGAGAAAGTAGCAGCAATACAAAACTTTCCGCAGCCGATATCACTGTGTCAATTAAGATGATTTCTCGGTTTAATAAATTACTACCGTAGATTTATTCCAGGTTGTTCCAGAATTTTGACCCCACTCACAAACTTGCTGCAAAAACAGAAGAAAAATGCAAAAATACTGATTGACAGAGAAGTGTTAGCTGCATTTCAAAATGTTAAAAAAGCATTAGTAGATTTTACCAAGATCTCTTACATCAGTGACGATGCTAACTCAACACTTACACTGACAACTGACGCTTCAGGAGATTCAATTCTACATCAGAAGCTAAATGTTTCAGAAAAGCCAATCTCCTTCTTCTCAGTCAAATTAAACAAAGCACAGCAAAAGTACAATACCTTCTCGAGAGAGTTACTAGCTATTTGCTTAGCAATAAGGCATTTTCAGCATCTGCTCGAGGGACGAAACTTTACTATTTTCACAGACCACAAACCCCTCACTTATGCTTTACATGTGAACACAGATAAATACCCATCCAGAGATACCCGACAACTGGACTACATATCCCAAGTTACATCAGTTATCCGCTATATTAAAGGTTCAGACAATATTGTAGCAGATACACTCTCGCACTCCACGATACAATCTATCGATTCTGTAACCCTTACCTTCAACCTCATTGCAGATGAACAACAGGAAGAGACCACATTATACAAAATAAAAGGACACTTTACAAGTGAAGGAACACCCCGTCCCATTTGGAACAAAAACACTACTCTGTGATGTTGGGACTGGTTATTCAAGACCATATATTACACCTTCATTGAGAAAAAAGATATTTCTGCATTTTCACAACCTCTCACATCCCAGACACCGAGCAACTGACAAGTTGATTAGCAGTCGTTTTGTCTGGCCAAACATGCATACTGACATAAAAAGCTGGACTCAAACTTGTTTAAAGTACCAAAAAAGAAAAGTAAACAGACATACTAAGTCCCCTCCTGGGCATTTTCTAAAACCAGATGGTAGATTCACAAATCTTCACATTGACATAGTAGGTCTCTTATCAGAAGCAAACCCACATAGTTACCTACTCACTATTATTGACCGATTCACAAGATGGCCTGTTGTTGTTGTTCCCCTAAGGGATACATCTGTAGAAACGATCTCTAAAAGTATATTACATGAGTGGATTGCCGTTTTTGGTTGTCCCTCAGTAATAACTACAGACTTTGATGAGTTCACAAAACTATTGGGAGTTAAGCATATAACAACAATGGCTTATCACCCATGTGCCAATGGCTTAATTGAACGTTTCCACAGGCAACTTAAGACAGCATTAATAGCAAATAATGATTCCAAGATGTGGTTAGAAAATCTACCGCTAATATTAATATCCATCCGGAATGTAATCAAAGAAGATTTAGGATGTACAGCATCTGAAATGGTTTTTGGAACGTCCTTGACATTACCAGGACAGTTTTGTGATAAATCCAGTCAACTCCAGCCAACTACATCTTTTGTACAAAGATTTAAGCAAAGAATGAATGAACTAGTTTTCACACCCACTAGAACACAAACAAAAGACCTTTACACTCCAAGAGACCTCCACAATTGTGAATATATTTTTGTACGAAATGACACAGTAAAAAGGCCTCTTTGCCCTACTTATACGGGACCTTTCCAAGTAGCCAAAAGAAAACCCACAAAGTAGATTTGCACACCCGCAAAATTGGATCAAAACGACTAAAAACAGATTTCGCAATAAGGTGTGAAATTAATTTTCTGACCA